GGGGGGGGGGGGCAGAATCTGGGTTCTGGTCAAGGTCTGTCTGAATTTCTTCTTTGTAACTGTTCTGTACGATAGCTTCACCAAACCTCTTGGTTAAGTGTTATGTCACTTTTGTGGCAAATTACAGTTTTCTACTTTATCTAAATAAATTATTAAGGCCAAATAATCAGGAAGATGTTCATTCCATTTGACTATTGAAAATATGAAAGAAATAGCCTGGCGCCATATAATCTGAAGGTTTTATTGATTTTTAAAAATGTTTCAGTTCACAGTTTTGCCTCTTGCTTTTGCAGGCACCTGATTCTTAACAATACTTACTATCAGCAGAAGTGAGTGCACACAAATCCATGTTGTTTCTTAAATACTTATTCCAGGTGATTCTGATATAAACCTATTTGTTTAGTCAGAATCTCTATCAGTTTAACTGATATCTAGTCAGTAGCTCAGTATTAAATTTAGCTACTTGTGAAATTATCTATTTGAACAAGGTTCCCTGTTTTAATTAGGTAAACGGTGGAATAGGCTTATTTGAATACATATGACATATACATAAGCATAACAAAAACTGCATAATTTGGGTTTCCATTATGACTTTAAGTCAAATATTTCTATTCACACAATGATTATGACACTTCAAAACCCATAAACATCAGTTCTATGGCCCCATCAGAGTTCATATCACTTTGGGCTGCCGTATCAACATACTTTCTAACTAAATGTGTTGGGAATTTTTTATCATCATCAAGGAGCCATATACGATTTCCAGAACTAAAGCTTCAGTTCTTTGTGAGTACAGCAGTGAAAGTTTGGGCTGACAAAAAATTAAAATTAAAATCATGCTTTCCCTACCCTTTTCTGCTCTACTAACAAGAGTAGTAGGAATAGCAGCAACTGTATGAGAAGTAACTACAAGAAGACCCATTCATTCAAAAGTATTTACTGAGTGCCTACAATATACCAGACACCAATCCAGGGGATACCAAATACTGTAGAGAAGAAGCCCACCTAAAAGCCATGGAGTGTCAGGGGTAGCAGGAGGCAGAAACAGGATGGAAAAAATGGAAGTATTATGGCTGTAGTGTGAGAGCTTTGAGAAGGAGCCACAAATCAGTTGCCACCATCGGCACCACTATTGCAGTAGTCTGGCAACAATAAGCATTCAAGGGTACAGAAATAGATTTAAATATTATTAATAAAGGTTCTCAGCCCAAGGGGAAGTAGCCAAATCAGAATCCTTTATTTTCATCCTTAAAGCCCACCTACTACATCTGTTCACCTGACTTTTTTTTTAAATCATCCCACCATGGCTGATTTTCTCTGTTGACACTAAGAATTTTATTGCTAATGAATAGGCTTCTAAAACCCATTGGTAAAAATGCTTCTATATGAAAAGATAGGCCAATTGTACTTGTCTTATAAAACAAAATCAATTGGCTAATAATAAGACCGACTGGTTTTCACTCTTTTTGAAAATTGGTTTGGTGCCATGGTATATCCACACTGAGAGATATACCACCCAAAACAACTGTGCAATTTACTAGAGGGCAACTGGTGGACGGAAAGTCCACAAATACACAGCTCGTTCCTAACCAAGTAAAAAAGCAAAAGGTAAAATGTCAAGGTGCCTTAAGATTAGCAAATTAATCATGAATTTCCCCACTTTTGAAATAATTCCTTTATGTCCTGTAGGAAACCATTTATAAACTGATTTAAATACATTGAAAATTTTACATTTAGCCCAACAGTTACTGTGACCACTAGGGGGCAGGCTAGGAGTCTAAGTGAATAAGTTTAGTATTAACCAAAATAATATACAGTGGTTACTGGAAAAGACTGGCCCACAAAAAGTATTTAATATTTATAACATTAAAGTCTAAGACTAAACAAAGTCTAAACTTCAAAATGAACTTATACGTGTGTCTCCTTACTGGATTATTTAACAGATACTTTTATAGGCATATTAAAAATACTTCAGATCTTAAAATTAATAGGTAGTCTATATAATTTATAAATATGAAATGTAAGTGTTTGATTAAAAAAATGACTTTTAATGGATTTCCCTTCATTCCTGCCATATATATACAGTATATATATATATATATATATATATACTG